TTTATTTAGTTCAAACCATATTTTTTTTTTTACCAACTAGTTCAAACCATGTTTAAATTCCATAAAAACGATAAATTTATAAATCAATTAGATATAGCAATTTGCATTCGGCTCCTGTGGTGCAGCATTCTGACACAACAATGACATAACATATCAGGCAAATAATTCAAAGTTTCGTACATAACCATTATCGCATCCGATCACTCTTTTTTCCCTCTTTCTTTTCACCTGTTTTTCTTCCTTCATCTCCAGATATCTACAGTACATCTAATATTTGAAAATTATATTTCAATTCCAGCACATATCCAGCCGTAGGCTCGTAAGTTAAACAAAATTGTACACTTTTTGTTGAGTAAATTAATTGACATAGAAAAAGCCAAGCCATTGACGGGTAAAGCAGGTCTTCGCGTGGGTCTTCTCTGAGACTATATATCTCTGGTTTCTCTCCACAGCTCGCGGTTCAGTGACATCAAATCATAGCACTGAGTGAGTTAGAGACTAAAGAGGAAACTCAGGTCTCAGATCTATTCAACAACAATCATAGTTAGGCTGCATTCATCCAGCATAGTGGGACGAGTATTTTACAACCATTGGTTCTGGTTTCATGTCTGATATTCTTTTTCCTTTTTCTTTGGCAATTATTGATGTGATTTTGATGCTGCATATTTCAAATTTGGACATAACCACCAAGAGATCCAAACCCTGCAATGGCGAACACTGTCCAGGGAGAATCTTCCTCAACTTCTGGTGCTACTAATTCAACTCCGACTTGGAAATATGACGTTTTTCTGAGTTTTAGAGGAGAAGATACTCGCTTGACCATTACAGATCACTTGTATCATGCTTTCAAGAGCAGTGGGATCAGAACTTTTAGAGATAATGAAGGACTTGAGAGAGGAGAAGTTATATCAGAACAGCTCATTCAAGCAATTAAGGATTCTCGCTGTGCAGTTGTGGTTCTCTCCCAAAAATTATGCAGATTCCAAATGGTGTTTGGATGAACTACAACAAATTCTTGAAAATATGAAAAAAATGTATCGACGAGTTTTTCCCATCTTCTATGATGTAGATCCATCTGATGTAAGAAATCAAAGAAAAAGAATCGGAAAAGCTCTCGCCAAGCTTGAAAAGAGACTTAGAGGAGACATGGGCACAACAGTGCAGACTTGGAAAAACTCTTTATCTGAAATTGGGAAGATAGCTGGTTGGGACGCCAGAAGTCTGTAAGTTATTTTCCAAAATGACTTGACCACATTTTAAAGATTGCTAGTTGTTGTAGAAAATAAGAAATAGAATTAAATGGGAAATGTTTTCATTCAGTGTCGTTTTATTTGTTTATCTGTCGTTTATATTTGAGCAAAACACGTATAAATCCTTTGTAACTTGTTTTGGTGAATCCGCATTCCATGCTCGTCAAACTGATGATCTTGACCCTTCATTTTAATTTTTAAATATTATATTTGTAAAAATAAAAATTATATAAATTTTTAATATTAAATTTGAACTACTTTCACACACATTACTTCTGATAGAATTTGGATAATTCAAATTTAAATTTTATTTTTATTTTATATTTATCAAAATAAAATGAATAAAAAAGATCAAATTTTTAAAAAATCTGTTGATAATCAATCTTATTAGTACATATATAATTTGGATGGTTCACTTTAATATAATTTTTTACTCGATCCTCTGGATATATTCTACACAATCCATATATAATCTAAATCATTTAATTTAATATTATTTTTTATAATTTTTACAAATTGATTATCTATATATTTTAAATTTTAGATATTCAAGATTTAATAATATATTTTTTATAATTTTCATTTTCACAATATAATATTTAAAAATTAATTTAGAATTAGCAATAGATTATCAAGATTTCCTTGGGTGATGAGCACGAGATGTGAATCCTTATTTTGGTGAAATAGATAGACATTATTCATTTGATGAGTTGTTAAGTCTTCTCTCCTAAATGGAGTCAATAAGGCTCATATCAGTTACTTGACTGTTTTGATTTTTTGGCTTGATCATAATAACGGCTTGGATTTTAAAACTATTCACATCTCCATCCAATATTTTATTTTATTTTTATTCACTACTTTTATTCGTTTTTTAATGATTTTAATCTGTTCAGAAAAATAAAATTTAAAATGACGAGCGAATTAACTGAATTACAGTTTTTATATCACGAATAGAAACGTTTGTTGATAAGTTTATTTTTTTGGAAAATCATCATCGAATATTTTATTCTAGTGAGCCATTGGATCAATTCTTGCTCACCAATTCAAAATCCAATTATCTCCCCATCACCACCTGCGACGTTACCTCTAGTTTTAGTAGACAATAATTATGAAAAGTCATATTTTGCATTATTGTTTTATTTTTTAGGCCTGAAGCACAACTTATCGAAGAAGTAGTTGGAGCAGTATGGAAATATTTATGTTCTAAGTTACCATCTTATGATGATAATCTAATTAGAATAGAGCGAAGAATGGGTGATCTAATGTCATGCTTGGAGATTGGGTTGGATGACATTTGCTTTATAGGGATATGGGGTATGGGCGGAGTTGGCAAAACAACTCTTGCAAGAGTTGTTTATGAACAAATCTCTGACAGATTTGAAATGTGTTGCTTTCTTGCCAACGCCAGAGAAACTTTGCAAAAAACAGGCCTAGTCTCTTTACACAAAAAGCTTCTTTTCCTCATGGAATAAAGGAGGAAATTAATGATGACTATGAAGGAATGAAGATGATAAGAAAGCTTTTTTGCAATAAAAAAGTTCTTCTTGTCCTGGACGATTTAGATCATACGAAACAATTTGAGAGGCTGGCCGAAAGTCCAGATTGGTTTGGTAAAGGCAGCAGAATAATTATTACAACAAGAGACAGGCACGTGCTTACTTCATGTGAAGCGAAAATATATGAGATGAAAGCGATGGAGGAAGATGAGTCTCTTCAACTCTTTTCTAAGAAAGCATTCAAGAAGATCATCCTGAAGAGGATTATTTAGAGCTGTCCAAATCTGTAGTTGCATATACAGGAGGTCTTCCTTTGGCACTTAAAGTTTTGGGTTCTTTTCTTTTCAAAAGAAGTAAAGCTGAGTGGGCTGCTACTTTAAATAGATTGAAGAAAATTCCAGATAAAGATATTCTTCAAAAACTTAAAATAAGTTATGATGGATTACATTTGGAAGAAAGAACAATATTTTTGGATATTGCCTGTTGTTTCAGGGGGGTGGAGAAAGATAAAGTAATCCAACTTTTGGAAGTTTGTGATCTAAACCCGAAAATTGGAATAAAGGTCTTGATTGAAAAAACTTTACTAGTTGAAACCCAAGATTATGAGGGATATTCCACTTTAGAGATGCATGATTTACTTGAAGAGTTGGGTAAGGATATTATTCGTCAAGAATCTCCTATTGTTGGCGACCGTAGTAGGTTGTGGGAGTTTGAGGACATTAAAGAAGTATTGGAAAATAACAAGGTGAGTACTTTTTATTTCTAGGTATTTCCTTTTGTTGGCATGCAACTAGTATTTTTGATATGCTTTACTTTCTTGTCATTTTCATGTTAATTTTTCTGGTAACAAACCGTTTTTATTAGGGAACTGAAGCAATACTAGCTATTGTTATGCAAGGATATTATTCTTGAAACTCACAAGAAATAAAAGTACAGCCCAAAGCCTCTTTAAAGATGATTTATATTAGATTACTCATAATACACTAGTAATCAACTCATCTTGCCAAGGGAATGTAAACTTTATAGTACATTGAAAACAAAGCAAAATCTTTTCTCATTTTTTGTTTTTAAAAGATATTTTACAATAGTTTTTCAAATTATTTTTCAAAACAAAACAAATAGGAAATTTTGTTTGATTTCATAAATTTAAAAACAGTTTTAGAATTTAAAAATTGATCAATGGTGATGGTCACCGGCAATTAATGATAATAGCTTATGATAATTATTAGTCAATGTAACTGTTGTTTTCTATAATCAACTTATAATGTATTTGAAAACAAGCAAAATAAAATGAAAACTATTTTAAGATATTTCTATTTTTTGTAGTTTTAGAAATAATTAGATTCAAAATACTAATCCAAACAAGTTTTTTAATTTTTGTTTTTAAAAACAAAGAGCTATTCTTGAAATATGAAGCCAAACAACTTTCTGAATGTCTCATTTTGTTAACATAAATCTCAGGTTTATAGTTATACATACTTTACTTTCTTATCATTTTGATATTATTTGTTTTTGGAAATTATTAGGGATATGAAGCAATAGAAGCTATTGGTATGCGAGGTATTTGGCAGAACCCTGCGAACATACATGAAATAGGAGTACACCCTAAAGCCTTTTCAAAGATGAATAATATTAGATTGCTCATAATAGACAGCTTTTTGATGAGCTCATCTTGCCAAGGGAATTGGAACTTCCTAGTGCATTGAAAGTCGTTTACTGGCGACATTTTCCTCTTGAAACTCTCCCACTTCCCTTGGATAAACTTGTTCATATTGAAATGCCAAAAGCAAAATAAAGCAACTTTGGAATGGCAGGCAGGTGAGATCAACACTCCATGTAACGTTATCTATTTTAAAATATATATATCCCTGTGTCCATGTTTTATTGATATATTATTTAGTAAGGCTAACTCTAATGTTTTATTTGTCTAGTCTATGAAAAAGTTGAAACATATTGATCTGAGCTATTCTGACAATTTGATCGAAACTCTAGACTTCTCAAGAGTTCCAAATTTAGAACGTTTAAATCTTGAAGGGTGCGAATCCCTTGTCAAGGTTCATCCATCACTTGGAGGGTTGGAAAGACTTGTTGAGATTAACTTGAGTGGGTGTATCAATCTTGAAATCCTATCAAGAAAATTGAAAACAAATTCTTTGAAAAGGTTAAATCTAAATAGGTGTGAAAAAGTTGCGGTGCTCCCAAAGTTTGAAGAAGGTATGAATAAACTATCATATCTCGATATAAGTTTACTGATATGATCGAAACTCCAGACTTCTCAGGAGTTCCAAATTTAGAACATTTAAATCTTGAAGGATGCGAATCCCTTGTCAAGGTTCATCCATCACTTGGAGAGTTGAAAAGACTTGTTGAGATTATCTTGAGTGGGTGTTTCAAGCTTGAAATCCTACCAAGAAAATTGGAAACAAATTCTTTGAAAAGGTTGAATCTAGATGGGTGTGAAAAAGTTGCGGTGCTCCCAAAGTTTGGGGAAGGTATGAATGAACTATCATATATTGACGTGAGTTTTATTGATACGACTAGACTTCCGAAATCACTTGATTCCTTGACTGTTCTTGAATATTTGGATTTGGGAGGGTGCAAAATTCTTCGTCTTGACAAGTTGAAGACTCCTATAGTTCGTCAAATTTCTAGCATCAATGTAACTTCATTGACAGAGTTATATTTAGATGGGCGTGGCTTGAATGATGGATCAATTCTTGATAATTTTGGTGGTTTATCATCACTCATTGCATTGGATCTTGGTGGAAATTCTTTTGTTAATCTGCCCCCAGGTTGCTTCTCAAGTCTCTCTCGACTTCTCTATCTTTTTTGGATCATTGCAAAAGGCTCAAGTCATTGCCATGGCTTCCACCACGGTTGATTCGATTAAGTGCAGTTGGTTGTGATTCAATGGAAGCTTTATCAGATGGAGACTTGTGGAATTTGGTTGCTTCAAGAGACCATGAGGTATGATTGTCTTCCTACAATCTATTTCCTCCGTCTCTATATATAAGATGTTTTTAATAAAATCACAAAACAATAATAAAAAGTTGTTATCTAATTAAAAGCACAGCAACATTTCAATTTTGCCTTTAATTATTGCAAATAAAAAATGAATATCTTTTTTCAAAGTAATTAATTAAGTAATTATCTTTTTTTTTTTCAATTTAATAAAAGTATAATGATCCATTCATTAAAAAAATGTGTTAACAACCTCTTATATCTAGAGATAAAAAAAATTCTAAAAAACTTCTTGTGTATGGGGACAAATAGAGTGTGTAATTAATTGTTTATGTATATTTTAATTATATTTACATAACATAATTAATTATTTATTTTAGAATCGTGGGCAAATTGAATATGCAAATACAAATACTTATGAGAATGGGAGGCTTGGTGGTTATGATTATTATTATGGAACTAAGTTTATGTTCGAGGACGTTGAGGTAAGGCTGTTTATTGTGTGTGTGTGTGTGTGTTATAGGGACATGCTCCCATTAAGGGGTAATTAATAATGTGAATAACAGTTTAGTATTGGTGCAGTCGGAATGTCTGCCCCAAAGAGATTTTATTGCAATTGTGCCAGCTGGATGCGAAATACCATCATGGTTTACAAGCACAGAATTTCATCTTGTGGATGCGTATGGACGGGCATGTGAGATAAAAGTGGAGATACCACATCATTTTCCGTGCAAGTGAGTGGTTAGGAATTGTTGTGTGCCTCGAATTTGTCTCATATGAGTATGGTAAGATATGGTGGAGTAGTAAAGGTGCAGAAGATGCTGATTATATACTCAAAAAGTGGGCGCATGCAATTCCCGGGAGGCTCTCAAGCACTAAGAAACGATTGCATGAAGCTGATAATGGTGTTGGAATTAAATGAGAAAACATGTTGGCAGCACCTAACACCTCCTAACAACTCCCTTCACATTTTACTTTCTACTCTCCATGGTCCGCTTTTTATCTGACGTTGAAATAAAGGGATGTGGGTGGAGATTGATATGCAAGAAGAGATGCAAGAGTGGTCCCCTCTCAATGATCTTTTCACCCAGCCACCAACTCCTCACCCGGTCGTGCATTCACAGAGGGCTCCTTCCTTAAAGTGGTTGATCTTACTTGTTGGTGATTGACGACAATGAACAGGAACGAAATGTGATGGTTTTTTTTTTTTTTTTATGTCCTCCTTCTCTTTCATTTATTTTTTGTCGATTCAACGTAATTAAAGGGGGAAAGGATATCATATTCAATCGTGAATTAAAAAATATATCAGAATAATATTTTTCACATTTTCAGTTATTATTCTTTAATTTTCTTTAATTTTTTAATATTGAAATGTACCGTTATTTATTTTTCTATAGACGTGAGAAAAGTGCATAACAATTATGGAAATATTGGAAGGACTTGGATAAACAGAGGAGATCAACTTTACAATCCTCCAGTAGCCAAGAAATTGAAAGGAAATAAATCAATAAACTATACTGGGTACAAAATAAATAAATAAAAATCAATAGTTGAAAAACTATTTTCGTTCTCGTTTCATATTCTAAAAAATATTTAGTATGAATTGCTTAAATTTCAT